GGAATATCTCCTTTGCTGTGCTAGGTTGTAAGGACGTTTAAGAGAATGAGTAACGTTTTTGACAAAAAAAATCCTTCAAACTTTGCTTCACCAGGAAAGGTTGTGTTGCATACTGAGCTTTTCAATGATGGATTAAAACGAGGCATTTATCGTACGAATGCGATCAAAAAAAAACAGTAGTAGAATACGATTTGGAGGAGTCGATTGTATAAAATTCTGGCGACCAGGAAAATCGTCTGCCAGGGAAGAGAACGGAAGAGCAGTTTAGTTTGTTTGGGGAGACTAAACATTTTCTTATGTTTTCCAGCGGAAAAGTAGCACTTAGCTTAGCTGACAAGAAGGCCCTTGTCCTTTAAGTGATCAGTNACGTTTAAGAGAATGAGTAACGTTTTTGACAAAAAAATCCTTCAAACTTTGCTTTACCTGGAAAGGTTGCATTGCATACTGAGCTATTTCAATGATGGATTAAAACGAGGCATTTATCTTACGAATGCGATCAAAAAAACAGTAGTAGAATGCGATTTGGAGGAGTCGACTGTATAAAATTCTGGCGACCAGGAAAATCGTCTGCCAGGCAAGAGAACGGAAGAGCAGTTTAGTTTGTTTGGGGAGACTAAACATTTTCTTGTGTTTTCCAGCGGAAAAGTAGCACTTAGCTTAGCTGACAAGAAGGCCCTTGTCCTTTAAGTGATCAGTAAGGCCTTCTTTCTTCGCCGGTCGCGAAACACAGATTTATTTGTCTGTAAATTAGATAAAACAAGGCTAGTTAGAGGCGCCATTCTCATTTTGTGGAAGATTATAAGAGATTAACAAGAGATAATTTAATTGTAACCTTTTTTAGCTTTAGTTTATGAAGTTTAGCAAAGATTTTTTAGGGCCTGTTTACAAGGAGGGAGGGTTACCCTAGCAAGCGGGTTAACCCTAGCCGGAGGGCAAAAGATAGCCGAGTTTACAAGCAAAATTTCACGGGCAGGGTAACCCTACAACCCGGGACAACTTAATGCGCGGTTGCAATCAAAGGGTCTGGAAACAAGTAGAAAGTTAACCCGCCTGCGAGGCTAACCCTAGCACGCAGATAGGGAACCCGCCTACCTGACTAACCCTGGCTGCCTTGTAAGTACGACGAAGAAAAAAAAGAGGAAATGTGTGAGTGCAAGGGTAATCCGCTTGCTAGGGTAACCTCTCCTTGTAAACAGGCCCTTAGTAAGGCAGGAGACTTTTTCAGCCATGTTAGAAACCCTTGTTTATAACTGGTTGGTTGAAAAAAGAATGAAGTAAGTGGCCTCTAGAATATTTGAAGAACCTTTGTAATCATATTTAATGCGGTTTTTCCAATGACTTTAGGAATGGTTTTTTTTTATTATTATTTTTGCAATTTGCGTCGTGATACACTTGAACAATCTCGGAACATGCTCAGAACAAACTTGGAATTTGCTTGAACTCGTATTACTGACCAGACTTCCTCTTTGCCCGATTTCCCGCTTACCATAGCTTTTATGTCTTCTCCAGCGTTTTTGATCGGTTACAACACTTCTGGTTGTTCCTTGACTCCTATGCTGTCGGAGTGTGTAGTGAAAATATGCCAGACTTCCGTGGGAAAATGTTAGTAAAGGCCGGAGCAGTGGTAAACCAAGTTATTAGGCGATAAAGTAGGTTGACAGCGCTTTCTATGCATTTGTGGCGCTTAATTTTCGGTGACTTTTTTTAACTTAGAACTTGAAAGAAAGGAGTCTTTCCAAGAGAAATGAGACGTTATTAAACGGCTGCTTTAGGAATCTCGTTCCCAAAGGTCACGGTCCGTTTGCGCGCGGGCTCTGGAAAAAAAAATCTGCAGTTTTTGGCGGGAACTGCGCGCGTGCAGTGCTTTTGACCGCTGTCGGTTAGGTTTTGCCGCCTTTTTCACTGATGCTACAAGTCATATGCTGATCGGTTCAGAGTTCAATTTATGTTCCGTTTGACGACAGTCCTTGGAAAACCGCTGAGAATGATTAAGAAGATTACATTTCTCTACTTTGAAAAGGAGATTCCATGTAAAGAACTTGAAAGGAGAAAGATGAAAGTGTTTAAGTGATTAAAAAAAACTATTCATGCTTGTAATTGCATGTAACGCAGAAATGTAACTTGAGTCTGTAAATATGTTGTTTAAAATATTAATAGATAATTATGATTAAATAAATCACTTTTTGTGGTATCACATCCTTAGTTGTTGCTTCTAAACACATTTGTTATTGTCTTGCTTGATTGCCTTGGCAGTAACTTACCCTTTCTTCATACAGTGCACCAATATTCTGCTAATGCAGTGAAAGTCCGAAAATATGCTCCCAAATCTTAGACGCAAAAGTCCGTTCAAGAATTAACCATGTCAAATAATTGCCATTTCGTAGGAGGTGTAGTAGACGAATTCGGCTAACGTTTTTGCACCTTTTTTGCCACCCAACTCACATCGTCTATGTGCATGTGAGAGGGTCGTCAACATACCAAAGTTTTCGGGTTTGATTCTAGGTGTTGACTTAGATTTTTGGTAGAAAAAATGAGAAGGAAAATATAGTTAAGCATTGTTGCGTGGTATCGATCGTTTACGAAAGGGAAAAACGTTTCTCCCCGCCCGTGACTAATCTCATATAGGGATACATTTGACAACAACTTGACTCAGCAACTGAGGAAGTGTACAAAGCTTCCGCGAACTCTGCGAGAGGGCTCCTCCAGGGAAAAGAAAGTAGCCACGCGAAGAGCCTGCTCGCAGACTACTGCGAACAGATTTGTTCAGAATAAGAAAGCGCCAACACCACTCCAGGAAACTTAAAACGCATCACATTCATTCTCACCTTGTATCGCTGTGCGTACTACGTCAAACACGAGAGACAGTGTTTCATCGGGATATCCAAACACTGAGAAGAGAGTTGAAAATACGACACGCTGCAAAGTAGTTTTTTAACGAAATTCGAAGTGTTTGGATGGCCAATGAAACAGTCTCAAGTATTTGGTATATCTTCTCAATCGAAACAAAAACTAAAGAGTAAACGGAGAAGTAAAATCGTCAAAATCTATGACCGGCTATCCAAACCTCCTTCACGATTGTGATTTTCTTTGTTTTAACTTGATGAATTGTTAATGAGTTTGAGAAACCACAATCATGTGCAGATGGCTGAAAAGACTTCAACACGAGATTTCACCGACAAAGGGATGTCAATTTCTCCGCCAATTCCTTACGTTTGCTTGCGATTGCAGCCTAGAAAAGGGTTCAGCGAGGACGGTAAACTTTTCAAGATGATTATATCTGCGTTATAAAACCCAAAACTCCTGAAAATCGGCATAGACGAGGTCAAACAAACAACGAGCTTGCCGCAGTTAACAATTTTCAATGTGCCTTCAATGCCGTACAACGTTACAAATATGTCACTAAATATTATGTATAATGTCCACATAATCAGGTAACAACAAAAGTAAAAAGAGACGGCATGACACAAGTTCAAAGCGTGTGAGATTAAAACAAAACTAAAATTTTTAATTTTCTAAAAGCTTAATCGCAGAGGCCTGTTGTGTCAAATTTTAGAAGCCAGCTTGAATATAAAGAAGAAATGAATAATTGATGTACCCAGAAGGACCCAGCTCATTATCATCCATCAAATAAAGCCCGGCGTGATGTTCTTCATTCATACATCAGTAGCACTGAAGGTTTTATAAGTCGGTATCAACCCCGCAACTCCTAGTGTCCAAAATGTTCAAATTATAGATCTTACCACAGCAATCAGTTGATAAAAGGAAAATAAACAACTGAAAAAAAAATTGTCAGAAGTCGATAAAACTTTTGCCATTACAAATTAACACCATCGTTACATGTATTATAAACAAGAAAACTTTAATTTACACTGATTCAGTAAAACATTTTAACTGTTTTGCAGTTGCAGTTGGTACAAGGAATTACTTCTTCTCGGCTAGGGTATATCACAGACTTATTCAAATCCATGTAAGCGCCGCACTCGTGGACAAGTTTGAAAAGTGACCAAAAGTGGTAGGCGTGAAAACTAGCGCCTCCGCAAGTTACCAGAGACATTTTAGAGTAACAAAAGGTAATTTAATTATACCGCAACAATAGAATTTTGTGCTAAACGAAGCACATCTTCAAAGCAAAAACTTAACGTGCAAAATATCAACGTGAAAGTGTGCGCAAATTCTGGAGTTCGGGATAAACGGCTCCGTCATTTACACACAACCTCCAAAATTAAATCATCAGCAATCTGTTGGATTCGAATCCAACGTAACTACAACACAATTGATTGTTTTCGTCCCGTGTGTTTTTCGCCCATTGTTTTGTAACACAGGGAATTGCTAACTCTTCAGGGGGCCAACAGCGATGTAATTATATAATTCCAAGAGGTTTGCTTGTTTTTCTTCATTCAGATGTACATCTGCAGCCGCACTGAAAACTTAATGAGTCTCAGTCAGTTAGAAACTACGCGTAAAATTTGACAGTTTGCAATTGTTTCGTCCAGGTTTGTTGAACTATTTTGAATTAACAAATTTGTTCAGTTTAATCTCAGTGGTAGAACTAAAACTACACAGTCGCAATTTCTACTATACTTCAATAGCTTCCCTGCTTAACGTGCAAAGTATCCAAGTAAATAAGAAGTCGTATACCATGCAATTTCACTGTTTATATCGTTAGTAACAGTTAAGAAGAAGGTGCCT